TGGTAGTGGTAGTGGTAGTGGTAGTGCTAGTGGTAGTGGTAGTGGTAGTAGTAGTAGTAGTAGTAGTAGTAGTAGTAGTGAAGTAGTGGTTGTTGTTGTTGTTGTCGTCGTTGTTTTCGTCGTCGTTGTTGTTGTTGTCGTTGTTGTTGCTGTTGTTGTCGTTGTCGATAGCTGTTGCTGTGATAGTTGTCGTCGTCGCTGCAGCTGTCGTCGCTGGCAATACCCTGGAAAGCAACGCCGAGGCCTCGAACCCAGCCCCAGATCATAAAGAGCCGAGACGCACCGACTATTGAATTTCGTGTCATAAAGCTGGTAGAACTGTCACGTATCATAAGACGAGGCATTAGCTTCACTCTGCAAACTCGCTTCAGCAAAGGGGCTCGTAGGCTTCTGCGGCTTCTGCTCGCAGGCGTGCCTTGCGATGGAACAGATCGCTGGGGCGTTGCTTTCTAGTGCTCGTGCCGAAACCAGGAATTGCAGCGCGAAGGAGCTGTGTACATTGGCGGCATGCTGCTCATAGCCCACGGCTTCTCAAAGCGATAGATGATCAGCGACAATCTTGGAACTGCTGCGAATTTCGGTAGACAGGACATACTATATTGCCTCGACCTTTCCGCGTCTCACTTTCCTACTAAAATCCTCTTTTGTTTTTCTCTCTCTCCCTCTCTCTCTCTCTCCCTGCAGGGCCTTCAGTCGTCCATCTGCGAGCCTCCTCTCTAAACCCTCTCTTACAGTTGGGCTCCGAGTGTCACCTCCCTGAACCCTGAAGCCCTCTAAGTCTCTCGCCACTTATAACCTCAAGCCCTAAACCCTTTCCTTTCATGAGACCCTTTAACTTATATAACTTAAAAAAAAGGAGCAGTCCCCAGACCTCTCTAACTAACACCCACCTCCTCAACGGCCTGCTTCATGAGAGCACATCGAGTTCGCAAATCCTCGGCGCTTGTGTTTTGGGGCGTAGTTGTCCATAGGGTTGATGCAGTCATTTGAACATCACATGTTGGTCATTTACAACCTTGGGGAGCAGGCAATCTACCGGCAGAAACGCAGACTGAGAGCCGATTTTCGAGCAACACTAAAGTCAGCGCTCTTATTCACCCAAGACGTTTATGACTGAGCTCGTGACGCAAGATTTGAAAAATACGGCGACACGATAGGACTACACTGCGACTCTAGCGGCCCTCTGCCTGTTGCAGCGAGGAAATGCAAAACTGGGTTTTAAGAAGAGCATCTGCCTTTTCCCGATCCTGAACCGTGAGCCCTGGGGCATCGAAGGACAGGCGCTTCTCCTGACGCTCCAGTTGAGCTGGGAGTTACAAAAACAACGCAAGGACCCTGTTCAGCTTGAAAACAGATATAGTTACCCACGAAACGGAGCTTGCTTGGCAGGTACTGGTCTGATGGTATCGGCATTAACTTTCTCCAGGAAGGTCAGCACCGACCTACATCAGCTGCAACCTCGAGTACTGTGAGCCGTGAGCCATTTTGACGATAATCGTCTGTTGTGGGAGTCTGACAAGTAGCCCCCCCGAACCTGCGCAAACTCTTGATGCCCGAGGCCCTCAGCCCCTAACCCCAAATTGCCCACCCAACTCTGCTCAAACCATTCAGCCGTCACTCCAACACCCAAACCCATGAACTTCAATCAATATAGGGGAACTGATTGCGCAAAAAAAAAGCCCCACCCAAAAACCCTGTAAATTACGATTCCGCCTACAAAATCTTATGACAGCCGCTCTCCACCCCTATACAAGCCCGTAACCCGGTACCGCCCTGCAAAACCCATAAACCAAAACCCCAATAGTTCAAATCCCTAGTGCCTGCGGGATCCGCGACACCGCCGACGCTTCCAACGAGGCCTTGACGTCTGCGGCCTGGTGCTGGAATTGAAATCTTTTAGGGATTACGAAAAATCCCAAAAAGAAGGTAGAATAGTTGGCCAACACCTGTACAAAAGCCATTGTTGTACATAAGCCTGGGGCCTAGGTAAGGTTTGTAGGATTTAGGGGGTTAGGGTTCTGTGGACTGGTGCTGGATTTGCGATGGGGCGTGCCTTTTTTGACAAATGCTGTGCCATATGAGTGTACCGTATATTGAAGTATAACAAGAATATAAATTACAGAGCAAGCTAGAAAGGGAGACACACAAACCGAGATATAGAGAGACATAATATAATCATCCATATTGCTTAAATGACAGGTGTCTACCCTACTTGTACTAAGGCGAAGGATATGTGATGATGTTCTGCTGTGCTACTACTTTAGGGGTTCTACTTCTAACACTTTGTCAGGGGACAGAAACAACTCAGGATATCAATCAGCCATCATGGGATGACACCCGCTGCTTATGTGCTCTGTATCCTATACTGTTCTTCCATCTATGACAATGCGATATTAACTTGGGCCGAACAGTTCTTAAGGGTTCTATACACTACAAGGTCCTCTGCTTCTTGGAGACATAAATCTGCCATTTTGTTGGCTCTAGACCCTCACCTTTGAAGATCTTTTGATGTTCTTTGAGGATTGAGGTTTTGGGTTTAAGGTTTCAGGGAATGAAGCCATGTCTGTCTTTTCTTTTTTCCTTTTCGTTTAGGAGGGTTCCGAGAACTGCGGACTCTGTTATTCAAGTAGTTTTGGATGAGGCTATTTGCTTCTGCTTGTGTTGTGGGTTTCGGGTGCAGGGCAGGATTTGTTCGTTCACGTCGCCTGGTTTGGCATGCGACTAACGAAAACACGTTAGCTTCGTTTCGACTAGTGAAGGCTACATAGAGCGAAACGATGTGGCCATATGTTTTGGTAACCCTGAGCCCGAAACCGTAATGCAGCACATAGCCAAAGAGGGGCTTGGAGGATGTGGAAGCAGCCTACGCTGCGCTGATACTCTGCTGATCAAGGCTGGTAGATTTGAGCATGTAGGGGTTTAAAGGTTTCGACCCTCACAACTGGGACACTACGGTAGAGGGTTCTGGGAACAAGTCTGTACTTGCTTCCCAAACCCACGACGGCGTAGAACTGCCCGATCTCGAAACCTAATTGCTAAGGCCAATCCCCCCGTAAATCTAAATCTAAGCCCATACCGTCTGATGCCCTGTATTGCTAACCCTATCTCAGCCCTCAAACCTATGGTCCTCTTCACCTCTATACAAGCTGTAAGGCGTGACCCGTTTCGAAAAACCCGGTCGTCATCATCATCATCATCGTCATCATCAACACCACGATCATCACAAGCAGAAGCAGACGAATCATAACAATCATAGTAACCATACTAGTCCTATACTAACCGTATGGACCAGAATAGGCGTGCTCACCATGCTAACCACCAAAGACCAATCCAGATCATACCAATCACAACGAACTGCCTAGACTACTCATCGAAACAAGAAATTAACCATCTTCATAACTGCCATCATCCTATACCCTAAACCCTTTTTTATATACCCTAAACCCTAAACCCTAAACCCCTTAACTCCCCTCAACCCGTGTGACCACCGTGAACCCTGGATCTTCCCCAGAACTTGGCCTGACGAAGATAGCTCGTCAAGGGCACTGCGGGACCGCTGGCGGGATCCTGAAACCGAGGTTTCTTTTAAAAGAGCCATACACCTTATGGGCTTCTTTTTCTATGAAGGTTCCAGCCTGTTCTTTTTTTTCTGAAGGTTCCTTCAAGGGTTTGGCTAAGAGTTCCTAGAAAGGCTCCGCTAATGGCTTCTATAAGGGCTCCGTCAAGGATGCGGTAAGGGTTCCTCTCAAGGGTAATGTACGGGTTGAATCAGGGCTCCTGTGCGGGATTGCATCTGGGTTTCTGAAAAGGTTTATATGGGCATGGCTTGATTCGGCACTCCCTTCAGGACTTGTTTGGGCTTTACAGTGCCCCGTTTTATGATCTACAGAATGGTCTTATGTAAGTCAAACGGTCGATACGCATACACGTGTGTATATTCATGATGATAATTATAAGTATATATAGATATGTATATGCGTACAATGTATGTATCTGTGTATGCCCGCTCGTAGCTCGTATATGTTATGCTTGGGCGTCCAAAGACAGCTCTGCACGAAATGAAGGCATGTTCACTATCAGCTAAGCTATGCTACAATCCCTCAACACTATTAGCCCCAAATCCTGTTTGAACATTACCTGCCAGCACCTGTTATAAACCATAAACGCCTCAACTTTAAGCTTTGAAGCGTACCACTTGAACCATACGCCCGAACATCCCTAAACCAAACCTTGAACCAAAACCCTGAATATAAGCCCCAGGCCCTCTTCAAAAACTTATGAACCAAGAATCCTAAGCCTTGCACCCTTAAATCCTCAAAACTAAACCCACGGATCCTGGCCCGTCAGCTTTTCCTCGCTTGCCAGGAGCTCTGCTTTCGCACCCCAGGCTAAGCGCACGCGGCGGCCATCGATAACGTACCTCTGAGCTTCTGGCGGTTTCTACACGGTTTACCACAAAGGAGCTTTAACCACTCTATAGTTCAATAAGGATTGCGATGCAGGTTACTACAAAGGCAACAAGAATCTCTGAGGGGTCTTTTTGCGGTAATTTAGCACATGATGTGGCTCCGAATACCTGCCATTTCATCTGGGGGGTTGACACCCAATTCCAGTCAGCTGCTGCTACTACTTCTACAACTGCTGCTGCTGCTGCTGCGTTTACTAATACTAGTACTACTACCACCACGACGCCGACTAATATTACCACTACCACTACCACTGCCGCTACCGCTACCGCTACCGCTACCGCTACCACTACCACGACCACTACCACTACCACTACCACCACTGCTACTACTGCTGCTGCTGCTACTACTGCTGCTACTACTGCTACTACTACTATTACTACTACTATTACTGTAACGACGACTACTACTACTGCTGCTGCTGCTACTACTGCTGCTGCTACTGCCACTATCTGCTACTGCTGCTGCTACTACTACGACTACTACGACTACTACTACTACTACTACTACTATTACTACTACTACTACTACTACTTGATATTGACTTCGAGCAGCTACTGCGTAGCCGAGACACAGCCCAGGAGACAGGCGCCGAATGCCGAGCTTCTTCAGAGACGCGTCCGCTTGCACAAGACGCAAGAGCGCGGCCTCCACTCAGCGACACCCTCTCCTAACTGGGATCTAGCACGCTCCCCGTTGTCGGAACCCGCATGTCGGGGTGACAGTGGTTTTGAAGGCAGTATGTCGAGATCCATGCGACTCGAACAAGTTCCACCCATGCCCATGCCTCCATATTGTCCAGGGCTGTTGTGGAACGTCCCTGTGGTGTCGCTACAGGCCTTAACAGGAGATGTTCCAGAGTCTTATGAGCACGGGAGGTTCAACAAACCTTTCATCTGTAGGTCGGATATCAGCATGCCCCACTGATTGAGGATCTCTGTCAACTCTGGGGAAGCGGCATTTGCGCACTGCCCGCTGATATGGGCGATGCTACTTCCCGAGTCTCTGCAGTGCTCGCCATTCGCACAAGCTGCCCCGAGTTGTGCACTGACGGTGTGCCCAGCCCTCTGCAGCCAACACCTGCAGGGAAAGTTCCTATATACAACTTATGCAGGCATGGGTAAGGGAGAATGGATGTAGACTTAACAGGCCCTGTAAGCGAACTATACACGAAAAAGCAGTCCTCCCGGCCCACCTACTCGCAATGACCTCGAGTGTGCCATGGCCTCCGTCAGGACCAAAGCAGGGGTCGGTCGAGGTGAAGTGATAGGAGACTTGGGACAGGTGAGTGGCGAGCGCAGCGGCCCGATCGAGGCTGACCTGCGCGGCCTGATCTCCCGGAAACTCAATGCCGGCGACCTAAACTGCGCGGCAGGCCCCCGCTGCGACTGCACAGCGGCACCTCTGGCGGACTGCACCGGTGGGCCCGGCTGTGTTTGCACTGCTGCAAGGGGAATGTTGAGTGGCACCATTGAGCCGCGACTCGACCTGGTGGAGGGCGTTGCAGGTCCGCCCTTCGCCAGCAAAGTCGATCCTCCGGCCTGTGGGGTGCTCGCCTCCGTGCTGCCCGTGGTCGTCGTGGTGGACATGGTGGGCGAGGCCATCTTACCCTCCGAAACACTTGTCTGCAAAGGGAAGCAAATAGCTCCGTTAGGCAGGGATGCCACAGAGCCTGCAGATGAACGGGCCATCTGCTGCCACGAGGGCGCAAATTGGATCGGCTTCCTCGCATGGCGAAGAGGAGAGCGCGTAGGGGATAGGAGTCGCCGCGTTTGGATCACAGGCGACCACGAGGCCACATGTGCGGTTCCCTGTGCAGTTCCCGGCGATGACCGCATGGCTGCCTGGCACCATGGGTCCGAGGATCTTGCCTACCCGTGGGTACAGCTGCGGAAGCAAGAAGGCAATTCACCAAGCCCGGCACACAGAAACACGAAACACTCTTCCTGTTTCAACAAGTCGGTCATGGGTCTGCCGTGACTCTGCCAGAACTTCCTTGGTGTCCTTAGCTGCTTTCTTATCTTTTTTCTGCTCCTGGGCTTGCAGCAGGCTCCGATGCAAGCGATTGCCAGGTTGCTGCCGTTGGGTTTGGAATATACCCTTTAGAACTCATGGAAGCGTCATGTGTTACGTTTGGCACTGTTAGGCAGTCTTCCGGGCCGTGCCTTCTCCTTCTGTTTGGGCTTGCCGGGCGCCACTTCTTCCTTGCTTGGCTTTGCACCATCTGTGCTCAGGGCCTCAGGGTAGATTACACTAGATAGTTCCACATTCTCATTGCTATCACACTAACTTGCCCAGTCGTACCAAAGCCACATGTGCCTGAAAAGGTACTTCAGGGAACGCCTGATGCATCTACGATGACATACGGTTTGACCACACGGACTCGTATCTGCCCATTGGATTCTCGGAACCAAAGTCATCACCCGGACTCTTGCATAGGCCCCACCCTGCCGACCAGCATCAAACAGCCCACTTAAAGTCACAGGTACATAGTATATGTATACATATATATATATATTAACTAATAACAATAATATACATAATATATATATATATACATATATACATACATTCTCGAATGTCATTCAGTATGAAACAATGTACAATCAGTATGAGACCACGAAATCTAAGCAATGCCTGCCCTCCGATCGAGCTTTGCACCTTGTCATCCTTAGCCTTCGGATCCTTCGGCAGCTGAGCTTGATGCTACCCCTCTACCCTCTACGACTCATGTGGTTTCTCGGTGTTTTGTCAGTACCTGGAAGCTACATAGACATAGAAGAAATTCCAGAATAGGAAAGTTAACAGGCAAAGAGAAAGAAAGAGAGAGAGAGAGAGAGGAGCGAGCGAGCGAGCGAGCGAGAGGGTGTATGTGTGTGTGTGTGTGTGCACGCATGCATGCAGAGATCCATCAATCCTCGTGCCGGTCCAACAAACACGGCAACTTCCTAGCAACGAGTCGCAATTTCTGTAATCTTGTGGAATGAATTGCTGCCACTGCCTTGCGTTGCTACTTGCGCAAACATTTTCCTCTCGGGCTCTGACAGACACTTCCTTTAACTGTTTAACTAACCACCAGGGCCCTCTGGGGGAAGACGGGGAAGGAGATGTCCTTGACCTCAACGTCAATGATCTCGGCATCCCTGCGTGGACACTACTTTACTTTGTCACAAAGCTTTACTATGTCGACATGTCACTTCCGCATGGCCGCTTGCACTCTATCTACAATCTTGATGAAGTCGAAATGCCATCTGAACCCATGTTGTTGTTGAGTTGCTATCCACATTTTAGCTTGCAGCTGTACAGCTGCATTGTGGACTTTTCTTACGCTGCTTCTGGAATTTAATCAAAACCGAGTCGCTTGTATGATTCCTGTATATCGCACTGACATCACAGTGGTAATTGTGGTTGTATGTCGAGATATGACGCACGATCTCCCTCCATTATTAAGAATGTGCAATGCACTCTGAAAAACCTAGAAGTGATGCTGCGCAAGTTCGAGGCCAAGAACAAGTCGTAGGACTAATTGCTTGAAACAAGTTTCTGTTTTGCATGCTGGTATTGGTTCTGGGCATACGGAAAGGTGAGTAATGACCAGTGCCGTAATTATGGGAAAGCTTGCTCCTGATTCTGACAGTGGCTTGTTTTGGTCGTGCTCATGCTACATACCCCATGGTTCGTAGTAGTGCTGATGCCTCTACTGCTTGTCCAGCACTTCTCAATTGTACTTGCAAGGAACCAGTGTGATGCAAAAGTATCTACCCTTGAAAACCTACCCTTAGGCACCTGGAATCAGAAGGGAAATCATATGTAGAACAACTCATGTGCGTGATGTAGGGGCTTTATTCACCAGGATATACCACCCTACAAGTAGGGCAAGTGAATACTACTACTAATTATTCGGTCCCTTCTTCACGGGAACTTACCGAGGGGCTCGTCTTTGCGGCGCTTGGCTGGCTCCGCATCGGGCTTGTCTCCCGGTTCGGCGCTTTTGCGCTTCTTCTCCTTCGCCAGAGAGCCCAACACCCCTTTCATGAAACAGTATGCAGTAAATTGTGGAGACCTTTATATTACAAGGTCTACAACTGAAATCATAAAATTCAGGCCCCCCGCGTACGGCTTTATTGCTTAATTGGGCGGGTCATTCATGTCTGCAAAGGTTCCTCGCCGCCGGCTCGACCTTGTAGCCCTTCGCGGCCAACCAATTTAATCTAAAATCTGAGGCTGGACGCGACAGCTCCTCCCAAAGACCTCCAACAAACTCAGTGAGGAGCTGCAGAAACTCCCCAATGGCCACAGCCGGAAAACAAAACGCACACACACACAACAAACTACATCAAAGCTGTACATATGTACTTATGTACATATACGCTTGCATACATGCATATATGCACAGATGCATGTATACACTTATGTACATATATACATTTATATAATAATGCGCATGCGTGTATGATTGTATTGTAATGTATTGTATTGTATTGTGTTGTATTGTACGTATGCATACATGTATGTCTGTACGTCTGTATCTGTATCCGTATCTGTTTTCGTATGTGTTTTATGCATATGACAAAGTGTATGCAATTGTATGCATACATTTCTACATATATCTGCAAAAGTTCGTGTCCTACCACTCCTGTTGGGAACAGTTTGAAGCCTAGTGGTGACCGAAATCCTTGAGCGACAAGCTACCTGCACTGGATCGTGCCCGCATATCGCTCAATCTATACTGCCGGGAAGGAGCTCTACGGCCAGGGTTAAGGGTTTAAGGATGGATTTTGTGAGCTGGGGATGACTTGTAGTTGGGCAAACGTCCTTTTTACCCTCCTTCTGCTTGTCCTTCTCCTGCTGTCACGGGCGGGAAAGCACATCCTGTCAAGACCCTTGAAAGCTTGCTCTGCGTATTATGTACCCAGCGCCGGCTCGGTAAAAACAGTGGCAAGATTTCCGAACGCTTGGAATTGTTGTGTGAAGCTGGTTTCTGAATGTCTTGACCATTTGAGCCGCATAGCCTCAAACTCGAACCCATCTTCCCGAGAAGGGAATCCTATGATCCAGCGACACCTGGTGAATTGCGCTATTGCCCGGAAAATACATACGCCACACTGCTACACAACCAATTCAGAGGGTTGGGAAAACCTTCAAACGGTTCCGTCTTCGGTTACCAACATCAGAATCAGAAGCAACACAAGTGTCGGCAGCGGAAACAAAGCCACTACTCACATGCCTTCCAAACATGGGGTGATCCTGAGGCCGCGACTTTGTGTTTTTTCTTTTCTTTGTCCTTGTCTTTATCCTTATCTTTTTCCTTTTTCTTTTCCTCCTTTGGCGGCTCCTTCGGTGGCTCCTTGGCAAGTCATTCCAGCGAGCAACCATGTGTAACCATTAAATTATTTATGAACAGCATTTCAAAATTATTACATTGCCGAGATACAACGGTTTGAGAAAGTACTGGATCCAAATATAGAGCCCCAGTACTGTCATCCTTAGTGTAAGAACCCCTTCAAACCGTACATGGCATTGGGGCCCTCTTTGCCCTGTATTCCTGGATCAGCAACGAAGACAGTTCAAGGCAGGTACCTGCATGTCTTAGTTGCCGTCTAGACACGCTCTTTCTCTCCTTAAAGCATAAACGTCCGGTCACAGACATTCTTTTTCCATGCATATGCGACTAAACATTAAACATGAATCACTGGTCCAATCTCAAAAAAAACACCTTTTCCGGGTCCAAGAATCCGTGCTGTCGCCAGCCATGTCACTAGGCGGTGCACCAGGGCACCGCACCTTCTCTGGCTTTTCGGGGGTGCTGCACGGCAGGCGCCATCCACATCCCGGAATGCGCCTATTCCCGCCAAGCTCGCACTAGCAGCAAACCCCAAAAAAACTGCTATCGATTCTGGTCTGATAGGCTGCTGTCGAACAGAGGCTTCAATCTCGCTGATGGTGGCTTACAAACTCAGGGAGTGCTAGCAAGTTGTGGGATGTTGGCAGCCAGAAACGGCACGCCTAGCCTTGAGGGTAGAAGTTGCTGGATGCGGCATGCAGCAGCGGGGCCTTCTACATTGCACATTGCATGCATTGTCTGTGGAAAAATATGGATACGTGGCTAAGCTGAATGAGCCGGACAAAGCATCGATCGCGCATGTCTCATGACAAATGAAACACATGCAAAATCCCAATGACTCCTGCCCGGAACACGTGATGTATGCAAATTCAAGCAACAGTCACTATGGTTAATTTTAAAGGTTGCAGATTGAAGTCCGTGGTCATCACCACACACCTTTTTACTGCCAGTACGAGCGCGGTCCCCGTGCAGCTAAAGCTACTGCCTAAAAACGATAAAAACGATAACCGTAATGGGCATCAATAGCAGCAAAGCAGTTACAACATCAGGTAACTACACGTTTTTTGATGCACCGAGATGAGCAGTCTTCTTCATGACCGCCAAACGTGCGAAAACTGCAATTGCCAACTTCATACCTTCGAGCACCCGTGCTAGCAACAATCATCGGGTCCTGGAGTCTCACCACCAGTCCAGGGTTGGTTCGTGCAGCATGACAACCCCCACAAAGCACTCACGACCCGCGACTCAGGTAAATTTGCTCAAATTTTCTGGAGCTTGTCAGTTAACACACGCTTGACCCTGGTTGCTGAACCAACAGATGGGGCAAGGTGTGTCCGAAACCTCGGCTGGGGGGACGGTGCTGGACAAAGACCAATCTTGAGGACAGTGGCTACAGGCTTAAGGGTGTCGGAGGCCCTTTCCAACACATGTTGCTGTTGAATGCAGTTGCATGCCTGATGAACATATCAAAACAGCAACGTTACTGGCACGTTT